GCTTTAGCTATTGCTATTAATGAAAATTTTGCAAAATAACTATTTTATAAGGAACATTTTCTCCCTTCATCAACAGCCTATCCTAGTCCACTGCTGGACATAGGCCTCTCCAATTGCACGCCACTCAGATCGATCTTGGGCTAGTACATTCTATTCTCCCTTAGTACACTATAAAAACGGAGATTTGAACATATAATTTAATTTCTGCATGATGCTTATAAAATGATTATTTGAAATCCTCTAAAGGTCAACAATGAAACTATATATAAATATGAAAGACATAAAACTATCATTTTTATATTTAAATCCAACACAGTAAAATCAAGTTCTAGTAAAACTTTCTTTAGATTTAAATATCTAGCAGTTAAATTCTCAAAAAATATTTAACAGTAGAATCAGTTGTCATTATCATTAATTTACTGAAGTTAATTTTTGTCCCAAGAAATATTATCAAAATTTCAAGTAAGTACTTATTTTGTAACAGAAAATGGCTTTTTAAAGTCAGCATCAAAAAGGTAAAAATTCTGGCATGATTATCTAAACTTAAAGATAAATCCAATATCAGTCTCTACTTTTCATTCTGTATTGAGAATGACAAGGATACACTGTTGTCAAACTTAAGTTTAGGTTTAGAGAATCTTGCCAAAATTAACACTAATGTATAAAATTGATACGATACATATATCGAAACAAACGTGGTCTGTTTGACTGCTATACATTGCATTTGTTGTTTATTTATTTTTTTCTCTATTTTTTTCCAGCGTTCTGTTCTACAACTTTTGTCTGGAGTTGTGATTAACTTCTTCCTTCTAATTATCAGGGGGGAAATCCATTGACTCCTCCTCCACGTGTCTGTTTGCAAGGCTGTTCTGTCCATCGATGAGGCTAAGGGGCGCCCTCCGCCGAAGCCTCTTGAAACAGTCGTCAATGCTAATAAGGCATGATGCCATATCATTAGGGTGTGATTTGAGGCGTGAACTATAACGTTTGACCACTTCTTCTATTTCTTGTTTAACATTTGGTACTCCTAAGTCTTTGTGTAATTGATTATTTGTTATGTACCAAGGAGCATCAGCAATCATACGCAACGTTTTAGATTGAAACCGTTGTATTATTTGTATGTTTGAAGCAGAGGCAGTACCCCACAGCTGCAGTCCGTATGTCCACATTGGCTTCAGTGCGCACTTGTATATTAGTAATTTGTTCTCTAAAGAAAGTTCAGATTTGCGGTTCATTAGCCAAAATAGATTTCTTTCCTGGAGTCCCAGAGCTTTCCTTTTGGTGAAGATGTGGTGTTTCCATGTCAGACGTCTGTCCAAATGTAATCCGAGATATCTGGCGTTTTCTGCTTGAGGCAAAGGTATGTCGTTAAGAAAAACTATGGGGCACGTATCATGTCTCAGTGTGAATGTTACATTGACAGATTTTGTTTCATTTGCTCTAATACGCCAGTCTTTGAGCCAACAAGATACTCCATCCAGACTTTCTTGCAGTAATTCAGAAGCTACCATTGCATTCTCATGACTAGCAAGTATAGCAGTATCGTCAGCAAATGTGCCAACCAGAACTGCGTCATTAGATGGTAAGTCCGAGGTGTATAATAAGTATAGTGGTGGCCACATGACGCTACCCTGCGGGACACCAGCTTCAATTTGGTGTAAGGATGATATATAGTCTCCTTCTTTAACGTAGAAATGGCCTTCCTTATGATATGATTTTATAAATGTGTAGTAGTTTGCGGAAAATTTAAAGAGATTTTGTGTAACAATCCGTCATGCCAGACACGGTCAAACGCCTGTGAAATGTCCAAGAATGCAGCGGTGCAAAACTGTTTATTTTCAAATGTAGTATTGATTTTGTGTACAAGGCGATGAACCTGCTCAATAGTTCCATGCGATGCTCGGAAACCAAATTGATGGTCAGGAATAAGTTTGGCTTCACTTATATGTGGTTTAAGTCTTTTCAAGAATAGCACCTCCAGAATCTTTGAAGGTACAGGTAAAAGACTGATTGGTCGATATTTATGTTACGCTTTCAGGAGGTTTGCCCTGTTTAAGAATGAGAATAATCTCAGCTACTTTCCATTGAGGGAGACAGAAACTTCTTAACAATATAGCATTATACAACTGTGTTAGGAATACAATGCCAATATCCGGAAGCTCACGTAGTACTTTAGCGGTTATTAGGTCATACCCGGGGGCTTTATGCACTTTAAATTTTAAGATTGCTGACTTAACTTCCCGTTTGCTAAATTTAGGTATTGGTAAGTCCATTTGATGGGTCTTATTTAATTGGTCCTGTACAGTTTTTGATTTTGTCGGGGTCCAAGGTCGGGGTTGGGTTTGAATACTTGACTTAGGTGTTCAGCAAAGATTTGGGCTTTTTCTGCGTCGGTTTTAGCCTATGTTCCGTCTTCCTTGCGTAAAGGGGACTTGTATGTTTTAGGCTGTCTTAACTTTTTCGTAGCCTTCCATAGACAGTAGTTTGTTGCTCTAGTTGCATCCAGGCCTGTCAGGTACTTTTGGACACTAGTATTTTTATTTTCTTTTATTAGTTCCTTCAGTTCGTAGGTAAGTTTATTAAAAATGGTTTTAGCAGCAGGATGACGAGTTTCTTGCCATTTTTTCCTAGCTTTCCGTATTCTTTGTATATAGTTAGCGATTTCCTTGGGATATGAAAAATTTTATATTTGTAGGCAAGGCGTTGGAGTTGCAGGCCATCCGGCTTGCTGGATGCAACTGTTAAACATTTCTACAGCTTCGATTATGTCATTATCCGATTTAAAAGGAATATCTGTAATTAAATTATTATTCACTTCTTCTTTAAAGTATTCCCAGTTAGTTTTGTTTGTATGTAATCTACACTTAGGTTTGTTATTATTTACTTCCTTATGTATGTCAATAATAATAGGAGAATGTTCTGAATGCAAGTCATAATTTGTATAACATACTATTTTTGATTCTGACAGGCCTTTGCTTACGAAAAAGTACAAGATCAGGCTTGCGTTTTAAGTCCGTTGGCCAGTAAGTTGGTTCCCCAGATGTGATTATAGTTAATTTAAGAGCCAGAGAAGCTCTATAGAATTCACGACCTTTGACTGTTGTAATTCTGGATCCCCCATATTGTATTTTTAGAGTTGTAATCACCTCCCGCAATAAATCTCTGTCCTAGTGTTTCAAAGAAGTTTATGTAGTTTTCATATTTAAGATTCTGTTTAGGTGGCATATACAGAGCAGATATTGTTATTTTTTAATTACTGTCTTCTATTGTTATGTTCGTCGCTTGGATAGCTTCAGTGCAGTAAGAGTCCGCCTTGTAATGCTTAATGTTTTTGCGGATGAGTATGCCAGAGCCTCCATGTGCATTGCCATCAGGGTGCATAGTGTGATAAAGATCGTATTTTGAGATTTTAAAGAAGCTTTTAGTCGTAAAGTGAGTTTCGGAAATTAATAATATGTCTATTTTATTTGTGTTTAGAAATGTTTCCACTTGAAGAGTGTGATTTGAGAGCCCATTGGCATTCCAAGTTGCGATTCTTAGTCAGCTGATTTGGGTATTCCGGGTCAGCTGAGTTGTCAGGTTGACCAGGAGGTTAGTAATAGTTGTCATTTTTTGCATGATTTCTTTAAACATTTCCATCAATTGTTGTGTGTCTGACTTGTCTGTCTGTTGTGTCGGATTTTGTGATGATAAAGGGGTATTATTATCTTTTGAAGGGGGTTGTTTAGTGGTATAAGTTTTCTTTTTGTTGCCGACTACAGTTGCGTAACTTGGTTGGTCGCCTATGTTAATTGTTGGGTAGCTTTTTGTAATTTTTTTCGTCTCGTGTTGTTTATTGGCTTGGCGAGATTCTCTTGGAATTTTTCGTGCATTTGGAAACTTTTGACTAAATAAATCTTTGTATACTATGCAGCCTTTGTAATTTGCGGGGTGGTTTCCTTCGCAGAGTGCACATTTGACAGTGTCCGATCGCTCTGTACGAGAACACAAAGCCGTTTTGTGAGCTCCAGCACATTTAATGCATTTTGGTTTACGTCTACAATATGCTTTAGTATGGCCATATTGTTGGCAGTTAGCACATTGGGGAATGCTACGAGTTGGACGCGGTGGCTCTATTGTAACTGCTTGTCCCAGAAGCACTCTAATGTCGTAAATTTCTTTGTTGTTGCTTTTTTGTAGTATTTCAACTATAAACATACGCAATGGGTTTTTAGTGACTCTCTGTTTCATGTTCCAAATATTCATGACTTTGTGACCGTATTTACTAAGGGCAATTTTATTTTCTTCTAAGTCTGTAGAAGAGTGCATATTTTTAACAATCACTTTAAAGTATCTTTCTTGCTTAGGTTTGTATGTGTAAAATTCAGTATCTTTCTTTTCAAGTTCTTTTACAATGATTTTATAAGCATCTGATGTTTTAGGTTGAATTTTGACTTGATCATTTCGTAGAATTCTTAATTCATAATTCTCATTAGCACATTCATTGAGTAAGATTGAGAGTGGTTTAATATTGGTAACATTGTCTACAAAAATAGGTGGAGGCCTAGGCTCTTTTTCTTTCGGTGCAGGAACATCGGCTAAAGTATCATCGTCCGGTAGGTTTTCAAAGGAGTTAGAAGTTGGTATCGGTTGGCTAGGCCAGTATGTGCTGCTGGTTTTACTTTATTTTTTTTGTCGCTGTACGTTGTCAGGACTAATCTTGTCTCTTTTACGTTTAGGTACCTCTGTCCAGTTGTCGTTCGTCTCATCAGGTGTGTTTCCAATTTGATCTTGGGTAACATCCAAGTTTTTTCTTGATGTCTGTCTCATAAATAGGCCTGGGTGAAATATCTGTTGCCATTACTTTTTGACTTGTGTTAGTTGTTGTAGGATCCTTATCAGTCAGCAAAACTTTGTCTTTTAGTGTTGCTTCCATGATGTTTGTTGATTTTAAATCGGGGTTGTCTCCCCTAGCCAGAGGTTCGGTTATAGCGCCGAAGGCTCGGCTTAAAGTTTATTTTTAACACCCAAAAAATAAAAATCGTTTCCCAGCATATTCTTTTTCTAAGTTTCTTATTTTGATTGTTGTCGTATATGTCACTATGAAATTGTAAATACCTTTAAATTATAATCTATCTCGCGAGATTACAATCTGTCGAAAGATTGTGTACCGTAAGAGACTGCTTACGATTTGAGCATTCATCATCATGAACGATTTAAGCATTAATCAGTAGATATTTAATCTATCAAAATGAAACTGTTAAATCACAATCTGTCATGCGGTAAATTGTCAACTTTCCAAATGGCCTGCCCCTGATTGGTCGGTCTATCAGTAGACTGCTGTGTATACATACAGGTAAGAATTCTTTGGCTCTTTTTTGTTTAGTCACAGATTAATTTTAGTTTCAAAACAATCACAGCATTATTTTCAACACAAAATGAATTTACAAACACCATAACATTATTTGTTTACATTCGACAAGAAACGAAACAAATATGATGGCACGCGCTCGGGTCACATGACGTTTAACCAATCAGAGAGGTGTGTTTCGATACATGCCATTTAACAATTTGATGGTTTTAATTCGAAAGATTAAATAGTCTCGACTAAAAATGATGTGTTAAATTAACTTATTAAAGTAAATTTACAATTTTTCGATAACTTACAATCTCACGAGAAAGATCGGTATTTTAAATTATGCGGTGACATAAAGAATGCGTGGGCTTAGGCTGTATCTCTGACGATCTTTTACATAAGTATATGCACATGAAACACAACATAAATTCATTGCAATAGCTAAAGCAAATACACAGAACTTTTCATTCATAATTTCTGTTTACAACCTACAATAGCTAATCTAATAGATCAAATAAGTTCTCACACTACATTTTCTTTGGTACTCAAGCTAAAACATACTTTATTGGCACTATACTTACGACATTCAAAATTCCTTTCTATCACCAAACTTTAAGGTTGAAATTACCACTACACTGACACCGTAAACACTAAAACCGATATGACACAGTACACTAGTTTTTATTCACAGAACGTTAAGGTTGAAAATCACTTTGTTCGCCCACATCGTCGTTATAATCGCAGTCGTGCTTTGTCTTCATATGATTCTTCAAGTTATTCCCTTGGGTGTAGGAAGCCGAGCAAATGTGGCACTTGTATTTCTTCTCTGTTTCATGAGATTGCATATGCACCTGTTAAAGAAATAAGTCTTATTATTAGTATTACTGCCTGGCCATATACCCCCTTTTACAAAATTGCGCCGCTGCCGTACTGATCGGCGCGTAGGTAAATTTGCACTAGTATATATATTGTATTTTACGGGTGATGTTTCGAGTCTTATAAAATTATTATTAATGAACTAATTATAAAAATATATACATATTTCAGTAGTTCAATGATAGTAGATTAGTATTATGAAAGTTTTTGATAGTAATTCTATTTAATTCAATATCAAAATACGAGGTAAACCTGCATTATTTTTTGGGGAAACTCACGGAGGTTCAATGTTTTTTTTGATGGAAAAATGGAAAATCAAAACTCTAATACATTATGTTACAACAAAAACATATTTCTGATGTTGTAGTAGGTAATTAATTTGATCTAATTTATTGAACATTATTGAGAGATTGAGGCGTTTGAAGTTGTGCATATTATCGTTTTTTCCGTAAACTGCGGTAAAACGATCAGAACAAAATAAGGAAAATAGTATTAGCAAATATTCTACATTAATTTACAAAAGGAAGAATAAATCTACTGTTTACTTCTATTGGAAATAGTCAAAACCTTTTCAAAGGGGGTAAACGAAGCGCTCAAAAATTTCGTTTTTTTTGGAAAAAATGTGAAAGGGCTCTTCCTTGTTTAAAGGAATCTATCTAATAGCTTGGACTAATTACGCCGTCTTTTGTTCATGTCACTCAAATGCCATTTGTAATTCAATAGGCAGAGACCAAACATGAAGTAACTAATCCAAGCGTAATCTTCGTTAGTGTACATTGTAAGGGGGTTAGTGTTTAAAAAAAGTTATTTTATTTGTTTCTTAGGTTTTCACGCACACCACTCATTAAATAAAACATGTTTCAACGGTATAGTTGCAATGATTTATTTATTTATGACGTTTCGCAACCGTTTCAGGCTGCGATGATAATAGGGTATTTGACAAGTTTTAGAAGACGATCTCACGTTATTGACTAATGTTTATGGAGTCCGTAAAAAGTGGATATGATATTCATCATTCTGTTGTGTATTTCAGTAAAAATAACCAAATCAAAATCTCCATTTTCAAGTTGCCGCGGAAACGTTTCTCTGGACAATACGGCGTCTCACTGGTGTGTGACGTCACACGACTGTTATTTAAACGTCAAACGATACAATGTAATGTCACTTTAACCGGAAGTTTACTTGCGTGTGACGTCATTTTAGGCTCCGCCAATCCCAAGCGTTTTAGATCACGTGACAATAGATAAGAAAACTATGTCTTTTTCGTGGGTTTTTAGTAAAATAATTATGAATATATTTTTTCTGTAAAAATAGTGAAAATCCCTGCCAATATTCATTCTAAACACAGATGCTAACAATTGGCACTTTATTTTTAATACTGCCAAATACCCTATTCTGACGACGCAGGCAGAAAAGGATGCGAAAAGTCATAAAATAAAAAAAATCAGTGCATCTATACCGTTGAAACTTGTTTTATTTAAAAGCTTTTTTTTGTTCCCAAATTAATTTTTGTGTCACTATGGGCATCGTATCGTGCCGCGACTATAATATACTAAGTTGCATGTTCTTTGTAATATAATAAGCTAGGCATAAGAATAAAGTATCCGTTACCAATAAATAATAAAGAATAAAACCAGTTTCAACGGGTTAGATGCACTGATATTATTTATTTATTGACCTTTCGCATCCTTTGCGATTTTTATTTAATAAGTGATGTGCGTGAAAACCTAAGAAACAAATATAATAATAAAAAATGTTGAATTTTCGCCTGGCAACATTGATGGTAAAAAAAAAACAATTTTGAAGATCAGTTCGAAAATTTTACAAAACGCGCGCTAATTTGTGGTTTCGTTAAAATCCATACAAGTATTATATAGGTAAATGCGAAAGTGTGTCGGTTTTTCTGCCTGTCTGTTGCATGTTGTTCTTCACTTTTAAACCATTGAACTGATTTCGATGAAACTTTGTGAATGATAGTTTCAGTCCCGGAAAAAAAACATGGGATAATTTTTTCATGCCAGAAATCATCTTTTAAGGGGTTAAGAAGGATAGGGGGGGAGTGGAAGTTCGTATGAGAAATCTATTTTTTCCACGCAAACAAAGTCACAGGCACCTACTTAGTTTGGTTGCGTTATACATAAACGTTTTAATGCAGGTTGCAAACCTCTACTTCTTTGGGTTTTTCAACAGAGCCATTTTGTGGTTTGTAGTAATATTTTATATTTCGAACGACTGTATTTATAATATGAATAGTAAATAGTTTATTTTTCATGTAGGTAATTATTTAGATGGCTGTGCTTGTATATTTTATGCATCAATTGAGAAAAGCTTTATTTAATATTTATTACCAGAATGGGTTGGAAAGTGCACCTACAAAACAACCATATTTTACTTCTTTTTAATGTTATCTGGAATGAAGTATGGTTTATTATAAATCTTCATGGTTTTTGTCAAGTTTCGTTCAAACAGTGAATTTTATAAAATAGACTAGCTGTCCCAGCGAACTTCATACCGCCATAAAAAAGGGTTGACGGTAGAATAGTGAAAATTTAGGGTCGTATATATATATTATTATTTATATATATATATATATATATATATATATATATATATATAAAAAAACAAAAAAAAATGTCTTAACATTTAGGTGAATGAAAAATAGATGTTGGCCGATTCTCAGATCTACTGAATATGCATATAAAATTTCACAAAAGTCGGTCGAGCCGTTTCGGAGTAGTTCAATTACGCACACCGTGAGACGAGAATTTTATATATTAGATAAAATTTAGAAGACAGTACACCATCGTCTCATTGTAGACAATGGTATATCATCATAATATTGGGACCTCTGATTGACCGTTGTTTATCAGAAACGGATTTTTGTAGCAAGCAAAGTTATGTTAAATTTTGTTTGTATTTGATCCACTCTGATCTCAAAAATGACCAACAGTGGCTTTCTGCTTTCACAATCATACTTTAACATTGGGCAAAAGAACTCATTTTTATAATTTTTATATTTTAAGTATGTAACTGCTTGATGTTTAAATCTAAAGAAAATATAACTAGAAAAAGTTCCACGCGGACCAGGCAGCAGACGGGACCCCAACCCGCAACCTTCGATATCCGGACGAATGCACTGACCAATTATGCTACCGCGGCCCCGATGGCAGCGTCGAAATTCCTCTAGCCATTCTTAAGCTGCAAGGCAGCGAATACTTTTACAAGTATTAAACATTTGAAAGAAGAAATAGCAATTATAGTTATATATAGAACTCATTTTTACTAGCTTCAAAAGTACCTGCTTTTTGCTTGCTCAATTATAATTTGAATTTATATTTATATTTTTTAAGCATTTAACTGCTAGATTTTAAAATCTAAAGAAAAGTTTACTAGAAAAAAATCCAAGCAGTCCAAGCAGCAGACGGGACTCGATTTTTCTGTGTTGGATTTTAGAATGTATAAAAATTATTGTTTACATCTCTGATCGATTTTTTTTTCATAATCGGTGATGATAGGCCTTTTTATTTCCAAGAAATGCAAGAGAAAATTTGCCAAGGCCATCAGGGCCGCGGTAGCATAAATATCAGTGCATTCGCCCGGATAGCGAGGGGGCAGGGTTCGAGTCCCGTCTGCTGCCTGGTTTATAATTTAGATTATCACAAAATTAATAAAACTTGTTAAAACGTATGTATATGTAACGTATGGTAGAATTTAAAATCACCTTTAACGCCCTCAATCTAGGGTAGCTTTTCCCACAATATTCACATCTGTAATTCCTCTCAGCGGAATGCGAAGCCATATGATCTTTCAACGCAGATGGCAAGTAGAATTTCCTTTTACAAACTTTACATTCGTGTCTGAACACTCTCAGATGTGCTTTACGGTTATGTTCCCTGAGAGATTTCCTTGTATCGTAGACTTTATTGCAGTTGTCGCATGGGAACTTTCTGGCAGTCTCACCGTGCACTTCAATCATGTGTCTGTACCTTAAATAGAAAATAAAAAAAAATATTTATCATCATCAGCCTAGTGCTGATTGGCGGGTGCTAACGAATGTAGATGCAGCCGGGACCAACGGCTTAACGTGCCTGCCGAAGCACGGAGGAACTCGCGATAGAAGATTTTTGGTCACCCATCCAATGACTGACCACTGCGAAAGTTGCTTAACTTCAACGATCGCAACCGAACGCGCTAACCACCTGCGCCATCGAGCTCCTCATTCAAATTCATTTATTCCGACTAATTTTAATTATTCCAGTGCTGAAGAGCAATTAAATTATTATATTAGTTTTAAGATCATGATTGTTTACACTTAAATTTACACTTAGATTAGCAAATAAAATTTGGAATTTAATTATTATTCACTTGTACCCAACGATATTAAATACCCTAGATACAATACACCAACACGAGCAAAAGCATGCCCGAAACCTGTCCAAAAGGTACTCCGTAAGATGATCGCGTAGTCTAAACAATATGAGGCATTATTTAAACATTGAAAATCACCTTTAAAGCACACTGCTAAGATCTTAATTAAAACGCATGCGTCGAAGAGTTATGCCATTTCGAAATGCAAGCTCGTTAAAGGGGTTTGGGTAAAAGTGGCTTGATTTTCAAAGTCTGCCGCCACGAATGCTTTATTTTTTAATGAATAGAACTAAAAAAAATAAAAAAAAAATATTAAGGCCATATATCTGTAAAGTACATCGAAGCCAAGATTTGATTTTTTTAAAATAGAATAATCGTAAATTCATATCACTAAATCTTACGTGCTTTTTTGTATGAATTGTTGTCTAAAACATACCATTTAAGTTAATAACGGTTTAACAGACCCTTTTTTGTCTGGTTTGACCGCCTCAGCCATTCACATCAGTCTTTGGATATTCCACTTAGATCTCGTGTATATGTGAAGATCATGTCAACTCTATATATATGCCAGTGTAGCTCGGGGTCCCCACGGGCAGGGCCATTGGACGGGCGCAGCCAGGGCACACACTCGTCCTCTCCTGCCCACTCTTCTTCGGCGGGAGGGAGCGGTCAGGGAATCATCCTCCCGCTCCCTCTCGGCTGCCTCATTCTACGAGAAGACGTTCTTGCTGAAGGAGGCAGCCTTCCATGCCGTCTCGCTACTGAGCATGGCCTCTACCATGCTCCTCAGCGAGAGGTTTCCGCCTCCCAACGCCGCGATTAGGTCGCAGCTCTGCTGTAGCCAGGCCGGGCACTCCAACTAGGTGTGCTCTGTCGTTTCGTCCGGGGCGCCGCAGTGATGGCACTGCGGCGTTTCTTGGGCGGGCGATACGGTACAGGTAGTAACCGAAGCATCCGTGTCCGGTCAGTATCTGCACTATGCGGAAAAGAGGCCGCCACACCGGCTTAGCGCAGTGCCGACCGACGGCGACGCCAGGCGAACCGCCTCCTCTACCGACTTTGCCTTCGCCGCTACCAACGTGTCGTCGGCGAAGCAGACAACCTCCGTGCTGGGAAGAAGGCTGCCTCGCAACACCTAGTCGTACCTCAGGTTCCAGAGCAGTGGACACAGCACTGACCCCTGGGGTACCCCTGTGGCCATGGCCCGAGAGCATACGCTTCCATCGGCTTCTCATAGAAGACTAACCACCCCTGCAGGTAGTCCTCCACGATGGCTTGCAGGTATGGAGGCACGCAGTGAAAATGTAGTGCCTCCATAATACACTCGTGGGGAGACTGTTCTCTTCTTCTTCTTTCAACAGCGTTTCTGCAACTCGACGTCCTTATGGCGCCTGTTTTGCGTTAGGAGGTTGTGTAGCCGGCATCACTTCAGCCAGCCCAGCTTCATCAGGAACGCCCCCAGGGCCTTCACATTTGTGACTGCCTCTTGGGGGTTTCCCGGTAAGCCGAGGTATTTCGCCCGGTATTCGGCCACTTCGTTGCATTCCAGCAGAACGTGAGTAGCTGTTTCTTCTGCCTCCATGCATCCTTTGCATAGAGGGTTGTCCGTGACGCCTAAGTTAAAAAGATGTCTATTAAAATGTGCAGGTCCGGTAATAGCACTTGTTACCATGCGCAATGTAGGTTTGCTTAGCTGTAGAAGAGTTTTGGAGAGGACAGCGTTCACCCGTGTGGCAAAGCGAGCGTCCTTTCTGCGTGATCCACTGTGTCCCTTTGTCCATTGGATAGTAATAGAATTGCTTTACCCTACCGTGTTTAGGGTTTGGTGGCATTCTTGCACGAGGCTCGATTTGACTAAACAGGCATCTAAAGCTTGTAGGACTGATTTGCTTTCGGACAGTATTCGTATTTCCTGTCCTGTTACCTTTCTTGAAAGGATCGCTCTTGCCGTCAGTATGATGCCCATACATTCAGCTTGAAAAACTGTGTTGTACGGGCTTAAGGGGAAAGCGATATGTATATTGAGGTCCTCAGAGAAAACACCCGCGCCCGTGCCCGATGAGGTTTTAGAGCTGTCGGTGTAGATCATGAGAGCCTTGTATGATACCTTGGGATCGTTGTCATCCAGTAGATGTATACTGTACTTTTTTGTCAAATATGAAGGCAGGTATTATTTTGGAGGAAAGACTGTTAAAGGCGTTGCGGATGTCTAGCTACACCGCAATAGCAGTCTCTCCCAGACGAGTGGCCGCCTCGGTCCACCCCTTCAAAAGGGCCACCACCTCCACCGTGGACCGGTTTCGCCGGAACCCGAACTGGTGCTCTGCCAGATTTGGGTCCGGCTCCCTCAGGTACTCGATGATATGCCCCGCCAGAATTCTTTCAAAGAACTTCCCAGCGTCATCGAGCACCAATGCTACCGCGGCCCAGGTAGGTACTCTAGTTACTCTAGATCAAGTTTTTGATCTGTTTCTTTTTTTTTATTAATGTTAGCTTTTAGAAAGCGTTACCACAATACGAAACATGTATAATAATCTCAGGAGATAATTTAATGAGCTTTTATATCATATGACTTTTGTTAGAATCCAAGATCAAATATCTTGGTTCCGATATTAGTTATGGAACTACTACTTTGCTAAGAACAATTCACATATATAGTACTATCAAACAATCATAATTAGTTCAGTGGCCGCTGAAAAAAAAAATCAAGCCAACCTCCATACAAAATTACCCAATCCCCTTTTACGAGATATTGCTATGTGCGAAAGAATATAGACCTTATTTCTTTAGCTCTACGCGCAATTCTGAATGCGCTGTTAGCAATATAGCAGAAATGGACCGCGGGAAAAAGAGACGGCTACATTACCGACCATGCATTTGAATATCACAAATCTTTTCTATTTAATCAGTTTATAGTAAGTATTAATACGAATTTTGCTTCAAATACGTTAAATTAACAAACATTGCTTAGATACCTGTCGAAAAAAAGACATTTTACATACTATAAGTATGTAAGTATGTAGTAATGATCATGATCGTGACCAAAAATGCGAAATAAGCATTTTTGGTCACGATCATGATCATTATTAAATAATAATAATAAATACTTCCAACACTCACACCAATTAGGCTAGCCCCAAAGTAAGCATTGTAAGGCTTATGTTATGGGATACCAGGGTAACGGATAAAATGAAAATATAAAAGTATATTTTTTTATAGAAATACATATAAAACATCAGTGACTGGAGTACAAATGCTCGTGATCATAACACAAACATCTGCCCCCACCGGGATTCGAACCCGGAACCTCTCGTGTTGGCGACACCTTGAAACCCGGCGTATAAACCATTCGGCCACGGAGGTCGTCAAAACATTATAGCTATTAACGGGATTGTTACCATATACCTTGTTTTTTATGAGTCTCCAATATTTCGGCACTGTTTCAAGCGCCATAATCACGGAGGTTTTTTAAGATAATTTGTAGCAAGACAAAAAAAATTGGACAGAAGCGAAGGACTGCATTATAAGTCTATAACTTTAATATTTAAAATCATCATCATCATCATCATCAGCCTATTAATGCCCCACTGCTGGGGCACAGGCCTTCCCTATGGATGGAATAGGGAGATTGGGCCATGACCCACCGCGCGGGCCCAGTGCGGATTGGTGGGTGCTAACGATTGCAGATGCAACCGGGACCAACGGCTTAACGTGCCTTCTGAAGCACGGAGGAGCTCGAGATTTTTGGTCACCCATCCAATGACCGACCACTGCGAAAGTTGCTTAACTTCAACGATCGCAGCCGAACGCGCTAACCAGTTGCGCCATCGAGCCCCTCCACACTAAAATATAATAATGATAATAATCTTACCTAAGTGTCTGTGAAAACAGCATCTCATCGCATTTGTAGCAATGGAACGTCGGTTCCGCACTGTGAGCTCTCGACACATGATAATACATTCCATGTTTGGACTTGAACAACTTCCCGCACTCTTTACAAGGGAATCTGTTATTACTTTTATCCCTGTGACATTTCTGATGAACCACCAACTTGTTCTCCTCAAAGAAGTGCACCCCGCATATATCGCAGATGCAAGTCCCGAAATGTTCCGCCATATGCCTCTTCAACGCGTGATAGTTGGTATAGTTAGTGCCGCATTCCAAACAGGAAAGGTTGCCCGCTCTCAAAACGAACTTCAGAAATTCATTCTTGATATTCGGGTACAAAGTCTTGTCGTGCACTTGGGTCACGTGTTTGTAAAAAGCGTCCAGATTGTCTATGCTTGCTGGACACAAGCGGCAATCTATGCGAGCTATGTCGATCTGCAAGTCGCGTTTGTAAGCAACCGTATCTTGGTACACTTTCGGGTCGTGAGTCAAAGTGTGCTGTCTCAGTTTCTCTGGGTCGGTGAACATTTCTCTGCAGTATATGCATAAGTAATTGCTGAATGTTGATCCGAAAGGGCACACGTATGAGTTCTCCACTAAAGTTATTATGTTGTGGAAAGCTTTTGTGTTGGCAGATTTCCATTTGCCAGCGGGCGCTAGTGGTGGAGTCGAGTCGGCTGCAATGGGAACTGCCAGTAAGACAGATAAATAGATAATGTTTTTATTCGAAAACTACTACAACACACAAAAATAAAGAAAATTACATAACAACCTTAGATTAAAACAAAAAGGGAAGATACGGCACTCGCGGCTCAAAAGTGATCCGCTTAAATTGTGGTGCACGATCACAATTCGCTGTAGTCACAATTGGATATCAGCACATCATAAGCTATATGCGTACCAAATATCATTGAAATCCGTTAAGCAGTTTTCGCGTGACTGAATAACAAACATACAAATTTTCACATTTACTATATTAGTAGGATTACACTGGCTTAATATTTATAATTTCATGTAATAGGATTAATCATAGTACTGGCAATATTTATAATTTGATGTACTAGAATTAGGATTAATCATAGCACTGGCAATATTTATAATTTTATGTACTAGGATTAGGATTAAATAAGCACTGGCAATATTTATAATTTTATGTACTAGGATTAGGATTAATCATAGCACCAACTCACCAGCTTCCGCCTCCTGGATCTCCTCTAGTTTCTCCCTCATCTTCTTCATCTTTAACAGCATCTCCTTCTTAGCCTTCAAGGTTTCCTGTGACAATCTCCTCTTTGTACCTTGCCTTGTGACCAGTTGCGATTCAGCGACATCCATTTCCTCTTTCAAAAGCACTTTCACATCAGGCTCACATATGAACTCGTCTGAAAAGAGAATTTATTTATTTATATATGGACAATCAACAGAGCTATATTAACACAAACAGACATACTTATATAGTCGTTTTATTTATCACAGCCTTCTGAATTTGAATATCTGATGGATAAGGACTTAATTATGTGATATATAAATTTAATTACGACGAATGACATTTAATATTGACAGCCCTCTGTGCAGAGCCTGCCTGGAGGAGGATGAGACGAGCGCCCATGTCCTACTGGAGTGCAGGGGCGTTGCAAGACAAAGGACTTCTCTAATGGGAAGCCCGAAGACAATAGTAGAGGCCTGCAGCAACATTCGGGGACTGCTGAGCTTTCTGGAGGAGCTGGGATGGCAAGACTGATGCCAATCCCCACGCAAAATAGGCACTGGGTGTCGAGTTGCGGAAACAGCCCGCCGTACTACTAAGACTATGACATTTAATATTATGATGACTTATGCCGACTAACACAGGCCTTCCCTATAGATGAAATAGGGAGATTGGGCCATGACCCACCACACGGGCCCAGTGCAGATTGGCGGGTGCTAACGATTGCTGATGCAGCCGGGACCAACGGCTTAGCTTGCCTTCCGAATTACGGAGAAACTCGAGATAGAAGATTGACAATAAGATTGCCTTATGATGCACTGAACAGTAACAATAATAAGTTTCTTTTCACAATATCTAAACAAAAAAAATTACAGGCAAGACAGAATTGGCCTTTGGCAGAATTGAAATAACCTGCAACTTTCACTATTCGGGCTGAGACACTAACTAATTATGCTACAAAGACCTTAACGGCCGTGTCGAATTTCCTCTAGTTTGTCTTACTGTAAGAATACGCTACGACATCAGACACTAGACACTCAGTGTATACATCGACTGCTTCTCAATGAAGTTTATTAGATGGGTGACCTAAAATTAATTGTCCTTCGTGCTTAGAACGGCACGCGGACGCCATTTACAGATGTTTTCTTTATCTGCGCAGGTTTTAGTAAAGTAACATTATAAAAGAAATAAGAACATATGCTTATTAGCTTACTATTTAAAACTAAATATTTAATCAACATATTTATTTATATTGAAATATGAAATTTTGTAATCAGTCGGGTTACACTGGCCATCTTTGCTCTCGATAAAAAAGTTTTGGAAACATTGGTTTATTTGTTTATAAGAGTCTCAGAGGATGTTAAATAGAGTATAGTTACACCGCCCAATGATATTAAACACCCTAGATACACCAACACGAACAAAATCGTGGCCTAAATCTGTCCAAAAGGTACATTGAACGATCCACGGAGCTCCGTAAGATGATCGCGAAGTCAAAAACAATATAAGGCATTATTTAAACATTGAAAGTCACCTATAATACATACTCTATAAGGTCTTACTTAAAACGCATGCGTCAAAGAGAAACGACTACGAAATGCAAGCTCGTAAAATTTTACGACTTTTTGCTATATGCGGAAGAATATAAACCTTATTCCTTTGACTCTACGCACAATTCTGAACACACTATTAGCAAAATAGCAGTTAAGGACCGCGAGAAAAAAGACAGCTATATTACCGACCATGCATTTGAATATCACAAATATTTTCTATTAAATCAGTTTATAGTAAGTATTAGAACAAAATTTGCTTCAAATGCGTTAAATTAACAAACATTGATTAAATACCTGTCGAAAAAACGACACTTAACGTACCAAATATATTGATCTAGTATTTTTTCACGGAGCTCTCACCTTTACTTTTCAGCGGTCCACACATGACTGTGAACCAAGAAGTACTTGAGTGGTGTTCAAGCACTTCTTGATTGGGACACATTTTGAGCGCACGTGGTGTATCTAAGATATTTAATATCATTGCTACCGACATACCGTGCGAAAAGGATCTTCGTTTCAAAAATTAACTAATAAAAGGCATATGTCTACTTACTGTTTTCATCCTCTGGGTGGGAATAACTGTCTCCATCTTGTTGAGGAATGTAATCTTCTATTTCCACTTTGATTTCAACAACTGTATCGTTTGATGTAATTTTATTACTCTCATCTGCAGAGAACAATAAATAAATATGCTGACACTCAGACACCAAAACGGATATAGAATAACTTTTTATCCATCGTCTATCAGGCAGATTATCACCAAATATAGGACACATATTTTTACTTTTAAGATTAAGATATATTGATTTGACATGTCGCTTGGTGTAATTTTTCGTGAAAGTGACTTGACGATCTCCCTCTCTCTCAAACTTTGAAGGGCTTTATATTTGTAATGATTTTGTTGTTAGGCCAAGGAAAAAATATGTGTCCATTATTTTTCGATAATTTTTTGTTTACTTTACCCTGTTGTCTACCCTATTAGCCTAGCCCCAAAAGTTAGCACTGTAAGGCTTGTTTCATGGGATACTAGAGCAATGGATAGAATACATATACAAGGATATTTATCTAGAAATATATATAAACATTCATGACTAAAGCACAAAATAAGTAGAGATAAATCACTCGTAATTATATAAAGTTAATAAATTTAAAGTAAAAAAACTTTGTTATAAATATATTTACTTTTTAAACATTGAACTGCTAATTTTTTAAATCTAAAAAAAAATTAAAAAAAAAATATCTTTAAAAAATCTTTTATTTAAATAAGCTATAAATAATAGAATCTAATCATGCTTGCATTTCACATGACCGTTTGTTATCTAGTGTATATTTGACAGCAGTATTATATCTTTATACAGCTCTATAGGGAGTGAAAAGGAGACTATTATCAATTTGTTTCTTAGGTTTTCACGCACATCACTCATTAAATAAAACTAGTTTTTCACGGGTTAATGCACGAAACTTTATTTATTTATTGACGTTTCGTAGCCTTTACAGGCTACGTCGTCAGAATCAAATTTTATTTAATTTTGTCGAGCTACCTTCGAAAGACTTTTCATTGAGCGTTCGGTTATTTCAATGTTCAATTTTTTAATTTTTTATGGTCTATGTATGAATTTATTACTTAATTTAGTTAATAAAGTACTTTATTTTAAATTCCTTTTGTAATTTTGAGTTTATTTATTTGACCCTAACTACCGTAAACTACCACCGGTTCCAAAATTGGGAGACCTTCCTGAGAAGAACCGGCGAAACAAACTTAAGAGAGGCTTTCTATCTCCTTCTTATGTTAAATTATGCAAAAAAAAAGAACTAATAGTATCTGTTGGTTGGTTGGTTGGTAACTCGACAAAATTAAATAAAATTTGATTCTGACGACGTAGCCTGTAAAGGCTACGAAACGTCAATAAATAAATAGTTTCGTGCATTAACCCTTAAAAAACTAGTTTTAGACTATTATCAAATTTAAAAATAGCAAATACTGAATAGCCGTTACCCTAGCCATACTATACCAATACATATAGTTATCTGTGAGTCCATATTAAATAAAATAAGGTATCACAACTGTCTGTCTATGTGTTGTTACAGATACTCAACGAGTCTGCAGACAACATACTGCACAACATCAATAAAACCGTACAGCATTTACCTTGTCTCCTTTAACCCAGACATTGGCAGAATCGTTAGATACTGAGACGCAGCCATAATCACCAAAAATTGAATTGAATAATCCTGTGAAGTGTCAGTATCACACGCAAGTCAGGTGGGTGGCACATCTTAATAAGTACTCACCATCAACTTGCATCTGTTGTTTCAATAATAGCTCTTCCCACTGAAGAACCTGCTGTCTGAAAGCGCAGGCATCACGCAGCCGCAATACGCAAGTAGCGCATATCAGTCTATCCTTTTCTTCCCCTTCCAAATGTGACAGCTAAAGAAAGTGAGCACAACAACACACAGTCTTATTAATCTTGAAGAAGAAAATCTAAAGGTTCATTTAGATAAAACATGTTACATGAACACTTAAAAACTTTCGCATTGAATTATAAAATATATAACAGCTTAAAACAAGCACTTGTAATAATGGTTTTCGTACCTTTGTTATCCCAATGTTTCAACCAGGTTACACCGGTAAATAGTCTCATGACTACGACTAGTGTAACCTGATCGAAATTTCAGGACTGCTAAGTACTGAGACTGCTAAGACAAGAGGTACATATTCAGAGACGTCTCAGTGATCAACAGGTTCAATACCGGTAGTGATCACCGACTCGTCCGGGGGGACAAGACTAACTTAAGAACTACCGACCCATATCCCTTCTAAGCCACGTCTATAAGCTGTTCTCAAGAGTGATCGAGAACCGTCTTGCGCGAAGACTTGATGACTTCCAACTACCGGAACAGGCTGGGTTTCGGAGCGGATACGGCACCATTGACCACATTCACACAGTGCGGCAGATTATACAGAAGACTGAAGAGTACAATCAGCCCCTGTGCCTAGCATTTGTGGACTATGAGAAGGCCTTTGACTCGATTGAAATCTGGTCTGTTCTGGAGTCCCTGCAGCGTTGCCAAGTTGACTGGCGATACATCCAAGTGATTAGATGTCTGTACGAAGCCGCCACCATGTCTGTCCAAGTACAGAATCAGCAAACAAGTCCCATACCATTGCATCGTGGAGTTAGACAAGGGGACGTTATTTCCCCGAAATTGTTCACTAATGCAATGGAGGATATGTTCAAGACGCTGAACTGGAAAGGACGTGGCATCAACATAAATGGCGAACGCATCTCTCACTTGCGATTTGCAGACGACATCGTCATCATGGCAGAAACCCTGCAGGACCTACAACAGATGCTGAATGACCTGGCTGACTCTTCTATACGCATCGGCCTATGGATGAACTTGGATAAAACCAAGGTCATGTACAATGAACACGTTCTACCGGAACCGATTTGTCATGTATTATAATTGTAGGTAGGATTGTGATGAGGGTACTTTTTACTTTATTATAATCAATAATGTTAATTAAGTTGAAGGTAGTTATGATATACCGCCATATAACAGTGTCATTCAGGCTACCGAGCTGAATAAAGGATTATGCAATAAATATCTATTGTTTTGTGTTTCTAAACATAATAGTGGCGACGAGTGATAAAAAAAAAACTAAAAATGGACAACAAAGCAGTGAAATTTGAGGAATTCAATCCACAAACAGACAATTGGAACATTTATCTTGATCGGTTGAAATTTTGTTTTGAGGCAAATGGTATTTTAAGTGAACAAGCAAAACGAGCAAATTTTGTTACAGTGTGTGGTTCTCAAGTGTATGAAACTTTGGTTGCGTTAATTACTCCAAATCATACTAGTGATGTGACATTCAGTGAAATTGTGACTATTCTTACGAAGCACTATAGCCCGAAACCAAACGAAATATCAGTGTCTTTCAAATTTTACAATCGAAATCAAAAGCGGGGGGAATCAGCTTCCGATTACATTGCGCATTTAAGAAAATTAAGTTCTGGGTGTAATTTCATTGACTTAGAGAGAATGTTACGTGATAGACTGGTTTGTGGCATGTGTGATGAAAAGTTACAATATGAATTGTTAAAAAAGGACAATTTGAGTTATCAACACGTTGTAGACGCCATGTTGTCATCTGAAAGTGCGGGACGTGCGTATGATACACGACGCGTCCGTGAGCATGTCAGCGGGCACTTCCGCGCCGCCACTACCGTCGGCGCCGGACGCCATGGAGGCGATGGACATTAATGCAGTACAGCCTAAAGTTTTAGTTCGATTTTGCTATCGTTGTGGCTAACGCCACTCAGGAGAATGTCGTTTCGCAAATACTGTTTGTCGTTACTGTAGAAAAAAAGGACACTTGGAAAAAATTTGTATAACAAAGAAAAGAAATATGTCATCTAATACAAATCGTAATATTAATTTCACATATGAACAAGAAGATCATTTAAATGGTATTTACTGTGTAATCAGTCAGGGTCGAGTGCCTGCTTATGAAATAATGGTGTCTTTGGCGGGAATACCTATTCACATGCAAATTGACACGGGGGTTAGTTTTTCTATTATCAACGAACACACTTGGCAAAAACTGAAGTTTCATTTACCAGCAAAAGTTTTACGTCCCATTACATTAAAATTACGAACTTGGACAGAGACACCAGTAAAATTATTAGGACAAGCAACACTGCCGGTATCTTATAAAGAACTAGTACGAAACTTAACCGTTATAATAGCAAAAGGCAACGGACCGAACCTGCTAGGTCGAGATTGGCTTGAACCTCTCAACATCACCATGAATATTAATTTCTTATTTAGTAATGAACTGGCAGATCTTAATAAAATAATAACAAAACATAGAGAAGTTTTTAAGGAAGGACTTGGTACTTATCGCGGCAAACCAGTAACAATACATTTAAAACCGGAAGCTACGCCAAGATTTTTGAGAGCACGTCCCGTACCTTACGCAATTAAAAATAGAGTTGAAGCTGAAATTGACAGATTACAAAAAGAGGGAGTTCTACGTCCGACTTCCTATTCGGAGTGGGCCACACCTGTTGTGCCTATTGTTAAAAAGTCTGGTGAAATAAGGCTGTGTGGTGACTACCGTAGTACAGTAAATGAAGCTACTGAGTCAGATACTTACCCGATGCCCACAGCTAATGAAGTGTTCGCTACTGTGGCTGGTGGACGTTATTTTACGACGTTAGATTTAGAACGCGCGTACACACAAGTGGTCGTTGATGACACCACTTCAAAGATACTTACGCTAAATACGTGCAAGGGTCTGTATACAGTACATCGATTAGCTTTTGGTGTTAAAGCCTGCCCCGGTATATTCCAACGACTGATGACTTCTCTACTGGCAGGTATACCTGGAGTTGCAGTTCTAATTGATGATATTATAATAAGTGGGGAGACTATGCTACAAATGCAGTCAAGACTCGATGTTACATTAGAGCGAATTGAACAAGCAGGTCTAAGACTAAACAAAAACAAGTGTAAATTTGCAAAAGAAAAAGTTGAATTCCTGGGGTTTGTGATCGATGCTGATGGAATACATCCAGCACCAAGCAAAGTAGAATCGATATTAAATACACCAGCACCTAAAAATAAACAAGAGCTACAAGCTTTCCTTGGTCTTTACAATTTTTATGAGAGATTTGTACCACATAAGGCGAATTTGCTTGAACCATTACACCGTCTACTGGATACGGCACAAGCATGGAAATGGACCGACGTAGAAGAAAATGCTTTCAGTACAGCAAAACGTCTGATCTCATTTGACCTAACTTTGGTTCACTATGACATTAATAAACCTTTGATTCTCACGTGCGATAGTTCCGAATACGGCGTTGGGGCGGTGTTGTCTCACGAAATGGAAAATGGTCTTGAAAGTCCAATTGCCATGTCTTCAAGAACTTTACATACTCACGAAAGACGTTATTCTCAATTAGATAAGGAGGCTACTTCCATAATGTTTGGAATTACTAAGTTCCATAACTATCTCATGGGGAGACATTTTCGTATAGTAACGGATCACAAACCCTTACTCGGAATATTTGACCCTAGAAAACCAATGTCGAATATGTTATCACCGCGATTGACTAGAATAGCTATCGCATTAACTTCACACAGTTATGATATTGTTTATAAACCTGGACCTCAAATAGGAAATGCAGATAGTTTAAGCCGTTGGCCACAGCCAGTACCCGAACAACCTGAGGAGAAGTTACATGAAATTTTGTTAATGGCGGAAACTCCTGAAGATTTCCCCTATGACGCTGAGTATTTAGCTAAAGAAACAAAGCGTAATCAAATTTTGAATAGAGTAATATATTATATACAGCGTGGTTGGCCGGCAAAGGAAACTAACGCAGAGCTACGATCATTTTGGCTTCAACGTCAAGATCTTTCGATACAAGATGATTGCATACTATTAGGAAATCGTGTGGTTGTACCGGAGTCGTTACGACAGGCAACATTGCGTATTTTACACAAGACACATAATGGCATCGTCCAGACCAAGGCTGCAGCTAGAAGTTATGTGTGGTGGCCTGAACTTAACCAAGATATCGAGGCGTTAGTAGCTAGTTGTTCTAAATGCCTAGAGAATAGACACATGCCACCGAAGACTAATCATGAATGGATAACACCTACTAGACCGTGGTCCAGAGTACATATCGATTTTGCTGGTCCTTTCTACAATAAATATTTTCTAATAATGGTAGATTCTTATTCCAAATGGCCAGAACTTTTCATTGTTAATAATACAACATCCAGTACAGTTATACGACTTTTAAGAACGACTTTTGCTACACACGGTCTATGTGAGGTTTTAGTGTCGGATAATGGCACATCATTCGTATCTAATGAAATGAAACAGTTTTTAACTGCTAATAAAATTCGACACATAACAACAGCACCTTATCATCCAGCGACAAATGGGTTGGCTGAACGTATGGTACAAACCATTAAAGACAAACTACGGAAAATGGATAATTTATCATGGGATGTTAAGATTTCAAATCTTTTACTAGGTCTACGGGTTACTCCATGTACAGTTACAAACAAAAGTCCAGCTGAGATGTTAATGAGAAGACGTCTACGTACCTTGTTAGATACTTTACATCCAGATAATTTGCAGTATAAGAAAACCGATGAACAAATCACAAATAATAATGGTAGCAAGAAAAGGGAAACTAACGTAGGACAAGATGTAATGTACAGAAACTATAGCAATGTGGGTGCGAAATGGCTACCAGGAAAAATTATTGCGAAGCATGGTCCAGCCAATTATGAAATTCGTAGTGAAGAAGGTGCAATAGTAAATCGACATGTAGATCAACTCGTTAAGACATTACCTCAGTTATCAGACAGAGAAAGGGGGGAAGAGAATAGAGCATCATCACCAATTAATATAGAACACAGAATGAAAGAAGACAATCTTGAAAATACTGGGCAAGAGCAAAGCATAGATCAAGATATCATAATAGAGATTCCTGATGCTGAAAAATGGGCAGATATGTTAGGAATACCTATGTCCGATGGCACATCTCAGTCTGTAGGAGGGAAAATAAGAAATAAGTTAAATGTTCACTCTAGAATTCCTTATGATAGACCTAGGTGTTCTAAAGATAATTATTATTTGAATTAATATTAATATAATATTATGCAAATAACTAATATCTCATTCCTGTATTGATTTTTATATAAGTTTTGTATATTGATTGAGGATTTCAGTTGTCAGCTTGGTTAGATTACTCTGCAATGAAGAATTACTGTTTCTTATAAAAAGGGGAGGTATGTCATGTATTATAATTGTAGGTAGGATTGTGATAGGTACTTTTTACTTTATTATAATCAATAATGTTAATTAAGTTGAAGGTAGTTATGATATACCGCCATATAACAGTGTCATTCAGGCTACCGAGCTGAATAAAGGATTATGCAATAAATATCTATTGTTTTGTGTTTCTAAACATAATACGATTGCAATACACGGTGCCGTTCTCGAAGTTGTTCAAAAATATGTGTACCTCAGGCAGACATTGCAGTTAGGTAGAAACAACTTTGAGGACGAAGTGAATAGAAGAATTCAGCTTGGTTGGGCAGCGTTTTGGGAAGTTACGTGAAGTCCTGACATCGTCGATCCCACAGTGTATAAAGACGAAAGTCTTCAATCAGTGCGTCCTACCTGTGATGACATACGGAGCCGAGACGTGGACACTGACGGTACGGCAGGTCCACAGGTTCAAAGTCGCTCAACGCGCTATGGAAAGGGCTATGCTCAGCGTTTCTCTGAAGGATCGCATCAGAAATGAGGTAATCCGGCAGAGAACCAGAGTTATCAATTTAGCCCACCGGATTAGCAAGTTGAAGTGGCAGTGGGCTGGCCATATTTGTCGAAGAACCGATAACCATTGGGGTAGACGAGTTCTGGATTGGAGACCGCGTCTAGGCAAACGTAGTGCAGGACGTCTTCAGGCGCGATTGAGTGACGATTTGCGCAAGGTGGCTGGCAGGAGCTGGATGCGAGTAGCCCAAGATCGATCTAAGTGGCGCACGCCACTTGGAGAGGCCTATTTGATTCCAATAAAACTTTGTAATTTTATGAAAGTTTGTATGAAACTTTTTCAATTTTAAATCAGGCTGAGACTTTGTATGCAGGCATAAGAAGAATCATAGGTGAATGTCATTGTGTATAATACAAGACTGAAAACAAAAACTGTAGTCTACACTTCAGCTCTACACCGAAGCAAAGCGAGGGCGGTCCGCTAGTAACTTCATAAGTATTGATTTCCTAGGTATAGTCTAGAAGTCAAAATTGATCCTGATTATGGGTAGAATATGTGGTACTCTGCTATGTCAAAGGTCTTTTTATACCCTGCATTGAACTATCATGAAGCTCCTTTATAAAAGTTATGAACAGTATTCTAATATTGTTCCTTAATTTATCTTCTGTACTTAGTGAAAAACCTATTGTTTTTATGTATCCAATGGCATTCAATTTTCCACATCCTTAAATATGAGTAATAAATAACCAATATTTTGAAACCATTTACCACTTATTAATGGGACTTCAATAACACACACAACTAAAGCAAAAAAATATGTTTGAGAACAGAGTTAGTACTTATATTTATTTGATATTGGTACAAATTATCAAAAAACAAACCATGTAGTTTATATAATATGTGAAGATGAACTGAAACTTCTACTTTTTAAATTATTGCGGATATAATGTACTTACAGCCCCTACTGTGCTTAGCATGAGCAGCGCGATATGATTATCATGCTCAATTGTCGAATTACTACGAAGTTTTGACAGTTAGACGAGATAAAAATCGAGATATAATGTAAATTGTGGTGCTCATACTACGGGGACTGGGCCCAAGAGGCAATACTTCACACTAGGTTCGATTGTTTCAAATCGTTGTGCATTATGCTGTTTAACTACTATGTTTCGACTTTAGAGGAATGTTAAATGTAATAATTATAACATAAATTGTATTCACTCACCACTACACCGAAGCAATCGACAAACATTTCAATATAAACTTCCTTTTGCCCGTAAAACTCGTATTCTGCATTTAATAAGCGACACTTTTTAATTATACCGCAGCACCTGCAAGTGCCCCCTTCAAACACCGGCCCCTTTTTACTGAGATTCATTTTATTTTCCTTAGCTGGGGATCACTTAAGCAAGTACCTTTCCTGCTTGTTTTCAATTCATTTCCTTTTTTTATTAAAACTTAAGACAAACATGACAGATGTAGCAGACATTTATCATGACCACATGTCGTTCAAAAACTATACCAAAAAAGTCAAATATTTAGACGTTTCTTTATATAAGATTTTACTTAGCTTAATCTTCAAGTTTGATGTTAATTACAATAGTGATTAAAATTTGTAATTTTAAATACGGATATTTTCCTAGGTGTCTTGTGTACATTAATAATGTAAATTATAATATAATTATTAGAAATCCACTATAAAGAAAATTTTAATTTTGAACGTCGACTAGGGATGCAATGATAAACGATTTTTCCAAGTTTTAATCAATGTACAAATGAAACATCAGTAAATAGTATGACTGTCTGCTCACATTCCTGCCGCAAAAAAACAAAAAATATTATCTCGAGTTACTCCGACCTTTGGAAGGCAAGTTAAGCCGATGGTCCAGGCTGCATCTACAGTCGTTAGCACACACCAATACACACTGGACCCGCGTGGTGGGTCATGGCCCAATCTCCTAATTCCATCCAAAGGGAAGGCCTGCACCCCTGCAGTGGGACATTAGTAGCCTGATAGTGATGGTGGTGTGATCATCTATTTAGACAACATGAGTACATTTTGGCTTGTTAGGGTAAACACCCGAACACCCTGTATAAACTAAATACAGTCATCAGCACAGCGTGGTACACAAACTAACCGATATTCTTCTTCAAATTTGACCTCCAAACAATAAGATTTATAATTCATAGGGAAAGACGGTAATTTGATGTGCTGTTACTTGTACTTTGGACCCATTTTATTTTGACCACTCGCTTAATGGGGGCGCTATGGGCTAGAGACGCCTTTGATAAAAACCACCTATATATCATATTATTCCTTATTTTTTGAAATAAAACAAGTGCTTTGCAACCACATGCTTTGAACAGCAACAACAACCACATGCTTTGAAATAAAACAAGTTTTAACTGGTAAGATGCACTGATTTTATTTTTATTGACGTTTCGCATCCATTTCAGGAATGCGTCGTCCGAATAATGATTTAAGAACCGGCGAAACAGACTAAGAGAGGCTTTCTATCTCCTTCTTTTGTTTTGTTTCGCCGGTTCTTTCCAGAAAGGTCTCCCAATTTTGGAACCAGTGAAAGTTTACGGTAGTTAGGGTCAAATAAATAAATTCTAAATAAAGTACTTTATTAATTAAATTAGCTAATAAATTCATACATACACAATAAAGTTTTAAAAATCTTTCTATGAAATATCCGAACGCTCAATAAAATATTTAAAATAAATGATTTTCGGTTATAATCACAGGGCCCGAGATCCACATGGGCGTTCAGCTTCTATTGCTTTATACTTTACCAGTTGCATCACATAATTAATGAATGTATTCATAGCTGTCACTTAAGCCGTCCTATTAAATTAAAATAATCATCCCGTCTGCACATTGCCCGATTGAGTTTTATTTCAAGTTTTTGTCTACAAACTAATCAAAAACAATGTTGTTCTCGGGCCACCAATTTTGGTCAATCATTCCACCTGGAAACCGGTACATATGGAATGACACCGAAAATAAGGTATAAATCGTCATTACATTCGTACTAGGTGGGTTTTTTAAGGATTTAAGTGGTAGGTTTGTTAAAAAGTAACGTAAAAATTAGTTTTTAAGATTTTTTTATAAGTAGGTAAACGCATTTGATTTTAATTTGTATTTTGAAGTTATACTTCTTTAGCCGCGTTATGAAAAATTTATGAGAGTGAAATTTTCATCACTGTAACACAAAATTTTAACATAATGAAGTTAGCCGCGGGCGCGTTATTTGTAATATTTTATTTTCCAAGTGACCGTGGGGCAGATTTGAACAAAGCAAACAGGGCAGATTTGAACGGGACATTGAAATGAAATGAAATGAAATGAAATTTATTCAGTCTAGGCTGTTACAAGCACTTGTGAAGGTCAAGAACACAACGTGTTTTAGTTACTTACAAGTGCTAATTACATATGGACTAATAACTTAAATTCAGTAGTGATTTTAATTGAATATTTTGAATATTTTTTTAATTTTTCAAATTAAAACTGAACTTAATTGACTGTGTTAACTATCCTTTTCCAGTCCTCTTATTATTATGTAATTATTAATTATTTGCATGCAATTAAAAAATATTTTAATGATGCTAAAGAAATATAACTTCTCACGCGCGTACATAAATTACACGCATCCATTTTTTTTTAATCATATACCTATTTAGTGGAAAAAAAATATACCGATTTTAGTGGGCAGCAGAATCGATTTGCAAAGTGAAGTTCGAAACCATAGACAATAATATTCTATATTCTCTTTGGTCTTGATACTTTGACAGATTGTGTTCGTAGGTTCTCTTGTTTCTGTTTGTTGGGTTGGGTTAGGGACACGATATCGAATAGAAAGTAATGATACTGTACTGATGAGTAGTATCGGTAAAAAAGTGTCGTACTCGTAAAAGTATCGAATCAAAAGTATCGATACTTCAAAGTATCGAGTACATTTCATAGGGCCTTATCGGAGCCTCTGTGGCCTGATGAGCAACAAAAAAGGACATGTAAATTCACAAATTGCTATATTATTTATTGAAAAGAAAATAGCTGTGATTTCTGACACTAAAATAGTGTTCATTAATATTACATTCATAATTAAAAAGATCGAAATCTTAAACAATTCAAAAGTATGAAGCTTTTCAGATTTGTTTCAAATTAAACTTACTTTTCTTGAATTTTAATCATTAAAAAACATTATACCCATTTATGTTAACTTGAATCTGACACGTAGTTAACGGCTGCCATTGGCATGCTTCACTCAAGATTATAATTATAGATGAGGTTCCGTCCGTCTTTTTTTCAGGTGGTTTCTAATAGGTATACACAGCACAGACAGAATAATAGTGTTACACTTGAATAAATCAAATACAGTCAAGCGAAAAGCACAATAAACGGCGAATCAATCACAGTTCCTAACAATATGGTCGCTAAATAAATAACTATGAAACAAAACAAAGCGCAAAATAAACACAGTCACAGATTGGAATGAATGTGAATATGTCAGTTACTGACTTTATAACAACGCAATAGGGCATTTGACAGTATTAAAAATAAAGTGCCAAAATAACGTAACGTAACCCAAAACGCTTAGGATTGGCGGAGCCTAAAATGACGTCACACGCAAGTAAACTTCCGGTCAAAGTGACATTACATTGTATCATTTGACATTTTAATAACAGTCATGTGACGTCATGTTTTGGATTTGGATTTTTACTGAAATACACGACGGACTCCATAAACATTAGTCAATAACGTGAGATCGTTGCCTAAAACTTGTCAAATACCTTATGGAACGTTTTAGAATGTTTGCTATGATTTAACAAGATGGCGTTACCATCAATATGTGGCGCTTATCCAAATTTTTAAAGGTCGAAATCGATACTGACCAAAAAGTACTCATTTAGTAAAAGTATCGAATACAAAGTATCGAGTACAAAAGTATCGGTATCGAAAGGAAAAGTACTCGATACCACAAAGTATCGATACTTTTTTCGTGTCCCTACTTGTTTGTTGGGTTGGGTTGGGGTGTGTCCTACTCTTTGGGTGTGTCTGTCTGTCGTTTGTCGGTCATTTTGTTTTGGTTTTGATTTTATTCTATTTTTAGTTGAATCTTGATTGAATTGGCTTCGTGCGTTGTGTTCGTGTGTATCTTTGGATTACCTTGATCAAGAACATATTTGATTTGACTAAACCAGGTGTTGTTGGAACAAAGCTTAACGTGTCCAATGAGAAAAAATTACCCGTTCAAATGTGCCCTGACTGGATACTTAAAGCATTAATTCGAAGAATTCCTATAGTGTCGTATTTCAGTTTGTTGTTGTAATGGGTCTTGCATATGTCGGTCATAGTTAGGGCTGCCATCTCTAAAATATGGTAACCAGGATAAGACGCGTGATAACCCCGGATTTTGGAGCTCAGAACCCGGACAGACCAATAAAAAAACAGTTAAAAATGTCACAATTCAACTTTTTTATGTTGATCTAGGCAAAAGAGCTAGCGGTCTACCTCATAATAAGTGGTCTCTGCTGCCCATGGACACTTGCAGCAACAAGGGCCACTCATGCGTTGCCGTAAATTTTTAAACACGGACTACAAATAAAACCCCGCCCGGACGCTCCTCGGACTCCCCGTAAACTAGGACAAATCCGGGGAAACCCGAACGGATGGCAGCCCTAGTCATAGTCAATGGTTGATGTGTAGTCAGTTCAGTTTTTTCGTCGTGTAGTCACATTAAAACCTTCAATATTGCACAACGATTCTGCTAAGTAAATGTAATAATTGTGTATCAATTGTTTTATAGTATTTTCGATTTTGCCACAGTTTTTGTTACTGAAATGCAAAATCACAAACATGTGTAAAACTTACTCATTTGTATGAAGAACTGTGCCTAAAAGAGACACTATTAAAACACTATTGTGACACAATTTTGCAGTGTGGGTAGCAGAATCGACTCCCTGTTTGCACAACAAAAGCTATGTCAAATATTACTGGCCATAAAAGATTGCAATTACTTGTTCCTAGTAGGAAGTAAGGAAGGAAGCAGGAAAAGAGATTGGGACTGAATGTTGAGTTTGTTAATACAGTCGACTCTCGTTAATTCAAAACTCTTGGGACTCTTAAAATATTACAAATTATTGAGTGTTTGAAATATCAAATGGTTCGAAATTTGTGAGAGAAAATAAATAAAACTTCGAATTATTAATATTTCTTAACTGCTATTCTATAACAATGTCATAAGTTTAGAGGTACATTTGTGTACATACATATGTATTCATAATGTGAATTAATTAATCTGTCGAAAGAACTCTGTTATACTGGTTTGCTTCAAAGCACATTGCTGCTGCTCAGACTCCTCAATAACTTTTTTTAAGAGAAAAAGTGCCTGAAATGCTTTTTCATCACTTTCGTTTTGTAGACAGAAGCTTTGTAAGGTATCGAATGAGGCTCTTGCTTCCTTAACTGACACCTCTGCCATAGGTTC